CCATGCACCTGCCAGACTGGGAAGACATGGGAAGAGACCTCCTTTCGACTTACCAAAGCCCGCTGGACCAATGAAAAATCAAACAGGCAGGTCCAGAGTGGTACTAAGTAGCAAGCATAAGCTTTGCATAGGATAGTAACTGTGTATATACCTTAATGTTGGAAAAGGTATAGTGGTTAGGAAAGCACCACTGTAGCTCCAAGCCAGCCCGTTGCTACATTCTTTAGGTTGGTACATGACTGTACGTGATATTTAATGGGCAAAGAAGCCTCTAGAAGCACTTTTGAAGCTGACTATATGTGGGGAACATTTCAGGCCATATACCCCCTTAGCCTAAGGCCACCGTAATAAAATAATGGTGCCAAGTACTTTTGTATGCACCGTCTTTATCAGGACCACATTTGAAATGCACACCACATGTTTAATGGAAAGGAAAAGAAAGGGGTAAAGAGAAATTGAAAAAATGAGTCCAGGAACACCTAGATCAAGTATTGATGAGACGAAATGTATTATCTTGCTGCATTTCTGATTTTGTGCGACTGATCAAATTTTTATTATTGGAAATAGCTGTGCATTATAATTATATACTATTCTTAGGTTGATTAAATTTATTTATTATGAAAATATACACTGCAGGGGGGGGGGGGGGGGCATAATTATTGGAATCATTGACAATTTAGTAATGCAGAGTTCTTGGACCAGTACTTCATTGACCCTCCGCGTGCATGTTTGCAGCGACGGTTTATACGGTTTGTCCGGTCTGTCGTCTTCTGGTCTGTACTTGCCACGTTTTCTCCCACCACACGACCCACGAGACACAAAAGCCACGTTCAAGCGCTACACTGGGCTTGATTATAAATATTGGAAAAAATATTCTGGGCGTTCGCGAGTTATGCGTGAAATTGTAGACCTCGAACCAGATTTACTTCGTTTCGTACCTTGGATCTCATAAATTATCAATCCAGGGCGAGTAGGGAGTCCCGCGTCGCTATCTACTAGTGCAGCTGATTTTTTTGGTAATGTAATCCTATTTTTTCGTTGATAGGTTGTACTCTGTACGCACTCTACAGCTATATCAATTATCAAGATTGATAGCCTTTCCTCCATCATTACTTCCAAAGGTTTAGGCCACCTACCAGCATAACCCCTTAAGGTTACTATTAATTGCGGTTACTAATTTTAAGTAACGATTTAGCGGAATTACAAACCGCTAAATTATTTCACGCTAATAATGAAACATTTCGCTTAAAATAGAACAAAAATGTTAGACATCATCGGAAGAGCCTGAGCATCTCATTGCCCCTCTTTCTACTGGCGCGTGGTTACACCCTCGAATCAGCGTCTTAAACGTATGGTAGATGACGTTCACACATTAGCTCTCAGGCTGCCTGTTCGTTCGTATGGCGGAGCGCTTTCTTAACGATAAAACTTGATGAGACAGCTCAGAGCGCTCGGAAAATGCAGTGCAAGAAGACGAAGCGGCAGAGACGAGCATAGACACGCTAGCGACTTCCGCCTTCCTTTTTGTTTTTCTCTTTCGGTTGTGCGAGTGACGGTGCGGCAGGGGGGTCTGCGCGTTGCGTATGGAGAACGGCGTCAATGTAGATTTAAGAGTGTTGATCATTGTGTTTACATGTCGCGTTGTGCCCCGGGGGTAGCGCCCACCGCTGTCGCGTGCGCCACCATGCCGGGCTCCCTCGTTTTCGTTCTGCGCGGAGTTACGTACTCGAATCAGCGTCTAACTTTATTCAGTATCCACTGTACGTACTCCTCATGGTTTCTTAATACAGTGAGATGTTATCGATTAGAGGAGAGGATACGTATTTTATATGCCTGAATTAGGAAATTTTGACACTCTTTGATTGTGCAACTTCAGACAAAACACCGAGTTCATGTGGTTCTTGTGCTTGCTATTCACTCAGCTACACTGGGGATGAGAGCATTATCAATTGTTATCAGCATCATACATTATTGTACACAGCATCACTATTGTTATTATCTTAGTGAGAGACAAATCGCGAAAATTAGTATACGCCACAACACTCGAAGTGCCAAAACGCTAAAATTAAACGTTAGGTATTACATATACACAAATTTTCGGTAGGCTGGTCCCATTTTCAACAGTAACGACATTATGAGGATGGTGCACTGCACTGCGCTCTCGCACTATAAATGAAGTGTGTTCAGAGATGGTTTGAGAGCCTGTCCTTCCATTCATGTACTCACGAAAGTACGAGCAATTGCACGCCATGCTATCAGCTTCATTATACGTACGTACAAAATCTAGGCCATCCCATTTACAACAGTAACTTATAAGGATGGATTGCACTGCACTCGACAGGTATAGTGTAAGTTCAGGATGGCTTGATAGCCTGTCGTCCCATTGCGTACTCATTAAAAGTACGAAAATTTAGGCCACCTTATCTAGGCCATCCATTTTTAAACAGGAACAGCATGCTGTGGGAATTTTTCAGGGCCTCATCGCATTCTCTTTGATGTATAAAATATACACAGCTAGAACACAAGGTAAGACAATAATTATGTGTTAATATATCCACATTCTAAACTCTTAGCTGCAGAAGTCCACCCCATCTTGTGTAATGCTTCAGATATTCTCTTTCCTTGATTTCCTTCTCTGTTGAGAGACCTGCATACTCTCCTGCAGCGTTCCCTGTCACTGGTGCAGGCAACTGAGCATCTCTTGTACTTTATCCCCAGCAGACCTAGCTCTGTGCTAGCAGTCTCCACGGAATGGCACAGTTCAGAGTATCTCCATCTCCACAGCTGACAGGGCTTCTTTGTTGGGATCTTGTGGCACTTTCTTTATGGAAGCGTTGACCCTGTTACCCAGAGTGTTGATATAGTACCCACATTTCTGACAGTGAGTAGACTCTAATGTGATTTTTTGGCATGCGCATTGGTTTGTGCCAACTATCACGCATTGCATTTAGGCCTATTCGTGCATGCAGAGGAAGGGAAGCGCGAAGCGAAGCACGACTAGCGAGACGTCGTGTACGAGATAGAAGCTACCAGGCAAGGCGAATTGCTGCCGAGTCCAGCGAGGAGAGAGAGGGCATTGCGAATGATCAATGTGCCTGAGTAGGGCTAGGCTATGCAGAGAGTATATCTGGCAGCTACTATCCGTACACCACCATGCACTTGCTTTGCTATCACAGTTAGCAGTGAACTAAGCGTACAGGGCAGGTCTGTCTGTCATACTTCACGCGTCTCACCTCCTCATTCACTAACTCGATGACAGGCAAAGGTAACACAATAATAATAATTATGTATCGCCTATAACTCTGAATATCAGTTAGTTTGGCATTAGAATATTACTTGAAGTAGTGTTAGAGAGCCACCTCTCTGAAGAAAAACAAAGACATGCTTACTTTTCGCATCGAGTTTTATGGCAGCTTTGTAGCAGCCCATTTTGAGGAGGATCCTAGCCAGTGTTTCTCGTCTGTTGCTGGGATGCTGTTTCTGCAGTCGGTTGAGGAGTGTCACTATTGTCTCCTCACAGACTGAGTTGTACTGGTTCTCCCTGGACCCAGTGTGGTGGATATGCCCCATAGACCTCCACTGGAATCAGTTTAACAATTTGGAATAGCTCTTTCTGTGCCACAATTCCTGCAGTGATGTAGACGATGTGGGTACATAGGTACTTCCATCATAGCCTTTCACTTACTTGCTTCGTAGCACTTTTCACCAGAAGTTGCACCTTGAAACTCCTAATGGAAAAAATAAAGTCATGATAGAGCAACACTCTCTAAACAAGCCTGTCTGACTCTCTTACTCATGGAGAGTTACTATAGGTGGTTTCCACATGTGGTATAAGCCTACAACTTACCCTATCAACTGAGTGTCCATCCATCGCTTTTGTCCATCAGACAATTGAATCATCTTCCCGCAACCCTGTGTGTAAGTCTCGTCGTCAAACGTTCGCTCTCCGCAGTCCCTGCAGTACAGTTCATTCTCACAGTCTGTCGGTAGGAAATGAAGGTAGGAGGTAATGTTATTGTTTGGTGCTGGGTCAGTATCCTTGTTAAGTACAAGACAATCTGTACAGAGTAGTCCGAGCTGGTAATTGAATCCAGGGAAATACTTTAGCACGGAATCCAGCATTTCAACGCACGTAGCCTTGATAATAGACTTGGTTTCTGTTTCCAGCTTGCTGCTATTCTCGTATCCCTCCACTTCCAACTCAACCACATCTCCGTGAACAAAGATCCGAAAAGACCCACCGTTTGGTAGTTCAAACTCGGTTAGATTATAATACTGTGTAGTATGTTTGAGCTTTATTCCAGGCATCACTGGCTTGATGTTTTTGACGAATTGGACTTGAAAGTCTCCGGGCATATACTGGCCATTGAATGTTATGTAAAGAGAGTCTTTCTTCATATTCGTCCCTTTCTCTCTTTTACATCGCCCCGTACGAAGTGTTGATACAAAGAGTAGCTCAGTTTCCTCACAACCATCATGGGGGCACGTGAGCCCATACTCAGATTCGGATAGATTAACTGCAACAGCACCTTTTTGCATTAACTTCCAGAAGAAATCTTTGTCATCCTTCCATATCTCCTTCGCAACTTTCGCACATAGTATTCCATAACTCACTGTGTTTTGGTAATGGTCGTGGTCATCTACGTTTCTATTTTCTGGGTCATAGAGGGCGTTTAATTTTTGAAAGAAAACTTGGGGGTTGTAAATCACTTTATAGCCAAAGAACTTGGTGTCGTACATGAGGCTTCCACATTGCGTGAAAAACTTGAGGGCTTTTTCAATGTCTTCCTCTGCTTTCAGTCCACACTCGCATGCCAGTTTATAGAAATCTTCCCATGGCATTATGAAATCTGAATCTTGGTACGTGTAGTGATTGAGGGCACTGCGCAGGAAAATCCACGTCAGGTGTAAATCGTGGTAAAAGGCCGGGGTGGAATTTATGACTTCCTCTATGTGTCTCCTGAGTTTTTCGACATCGTTTTGATCGTGGAGATTAACAACCAACATATCTGATTCCATTGACTCACCGGCACACATATCCCCCATCTTAGCTCTGATGCCCGCCTCCGTTAGCATTTTCATCCTATGGGCATCCTCTTCATTTAGTTTGTCCCTGTGTGTTCCAATCAAAATGCTCCTGCCTGGTTCTTTACAAAACCCACCAATGCGGGTACAGTAGTGTCCACGAGATCTTCCGTTCATTACGTGTTGAGCTTTGTGGACATCTGTCAATTTGGGCAGAAGTCTGAGGCTTTCATGCCCATCTCTATGAAGGTTCAACATATTCAGCAACACAAAGGGTTGCATTAGACGGGAAATGAGAGGGAGAGACTCGTTGAGAGCCTTACTAACCCCAATGTCAAACAAGTTCAAGAGAACGTAGTTGGGCTCTGTCATCACGTGGAATCGGAAATCAGATTCGCTTTCGGCAAACTTTAACAGCCCGTTGTGCATATCGCAGTACACTTTTTCAAAGTGGTTATATAGCTGCTTATTTGCAATCAACTTTGGTGGGAGGGCATTTCCAGACCATTGCTTCAAAATCGGCAGTGCCTGGCCATTATCCGTTAGAGCACGAGTAAGCATGAACATATGGATGTCATCTCGGGTGAATTCGCCCCACTCTGGAGTTAACTTGTCTCTTCGCGACGTCGAGCAGTAACCCACTTCATACATTCCAAGTGCCGGAACAACACGCTGACTGTTGATTTTTGGCACAAGTTTATCAACGAGAGTCGACTTCCCTGAGCCGGGCAGCCCTCCAACTGCCACCAGTGTCACTTTGAACCGAGTCTTGATGTTCCTTTTACAATGATGTCCAGTACCTCTTCAGGGCTGTATTCACGTGTCGGTAGAACTGTGGGTGATAAACAGCATCAATCAGATGCTATACACACTACCTCCAATTTCTAGCCTGTTTCCTCCATGACCATGTTTTTCTCACCACAGTATGCAGTCAATGTGCATGTCATACTAATACATAGTCCAGAGCGTACAATATGGGTATAGTGTAGCACCTGGGTACACAGGGTAGTCACAGATTTACAACCCTCGGCGCACATGGGCAGCGAGGGTTACAGTACGTGTCTGTCTGTTTGTCACTACCACGTTTTCTGCCTCCACGTGCAAGAAATCGGCCAAAAAGTGATAGCAACTGGTTCAGTGCTACACTGGCTTGATTAAATGACGATTTTCATAAAACTACTGGTTCTAAAGTTATGGCGTGAAAAGCAAGTGAACAAGCCAATATGCTAATTAGCCCTTACCTCGACAGGGTCCACTTGCTCTGTGTATCTGGAAGGCACAAGAAGTCACAACGGAGGGCGTGTATATCGACTCCCAGCATACTGTAGCTAGCCCGTGTCCGACTCTTCACGAGCTATATAGTCCACTAGCGGGAGACCGCATACACGCATACTACAAGTAGCCAGGCCCATCAATTTAGCGGTACTGCGCATGCGCAGTTCGCCGCGGGTTTGCACTTTAGTGCTTTTCATTATACATAGGCAACTTTTATAACTGTAAAAATCCGCAAACCCCGGCACTGTGCAGAAAGGAGGTAGAAGCACAGTGAACAAAGCAGAGGCTTAACCCTTTGACATGGAAATACCACTATAGCAACTGCTAAGGAGAGCAGAGTGCTCTTCCAACTACATAGCTCAACCAGCAGCACCAGGACTCTAATGCAGGAAAACAGCCAAAATACTCACCTAATTAAGATCACCAAACACACCCGAATATAAACCCCGATTCTAAGACACCTATAATCCCAGAGAACAGTTGCCTACCATGAGCAAGAGGTTTCTTTTCCCCAAGAGCCTTTTTGATGACCTTATAGGCAGCCTCGTCCCTCTCCCGAGAATGCTCCCTAACGGCCAGTGTCTCCTCCATGTCTGACATCATGTGCTTCAGCCTCAGCTCATTGCTGTGTTTCTCCATTACCAGCTGCTCCTTCAGTTGAGTCAGCTCCACTGAGGCCTACAAAAGAAGATAATAACATTATGTGCAGCTCATAAAGAATTGTGACAATATACTCTTTATGTAATGCATAATGCTCCAACCTTTTGTGCACTTTGTTTTGCTTCGACGGCAAATTGTTCAGCTTTCTTCTTTGCCATCTTGAGTTTCTTGTATTCCTCAATGAGTCTGTCCGGCTGGTCTCTGTAGTGGCCCAAATCTCCCTCATCCATCACTGAGAACTGTGTCACAGAAACAAACATGCAAAGTCAACCTACTACATATTATGTATAGGTTTGTGCCTATAATTATACTCTGCACCAACTAATATAGTTGTAGTTGGTGTGATCATAGTTGCTCTATTACTATTACAAGTAAGTTGTACCCATCTAATTCCACTGGGCCATTCGTAATAGTAATTTAAACAGCTTGTGTGATTTTGCTGTGTGTGTGTGTCTATATAATATAATTTGTATGTAGAAAAGCTACAAATATACAAGTACTAAGTTGCTCCTAACTGATACACTGACTGTAGGAATTCCAAATTCCACTGGGCTATTAATTTGAACAGCTGTTATGTGTGTGTGCGGAAAAGGGGATGTAGATGATTATACTTCTCTTGCTCCACATAAAATACTAATGCCACGAGAGTAGATTCTTGGATTCCAAAGGTACCTCTGCCCTGATTGTCAGTTCCTCCACTCTTGTCTCCAGCTCTGCCACTCTCTTTATGTAAGTGTTCAGCTGGTGTTTCATGGGGTCTTCCTCTGACGATCCTCACTGATCTGGTCTCCCTCTCCTCCGTGTCTCTGTGTTCCACTCTTTGGCCTGCCATGAGTCTGTCTTCTCCTCTGCTGACTGGGAGAGTCTGCAGACCCACTGCTCTCTCCCTGCACACAACAGACACCTTTGAACCTTTGACAGAAGCTCCCACCACAATGTATTGGAGTGGTTTAGTTTGTAGAGATTCTCATGAAGTTCAGCAGTGTTTTTATGGTGACTTAGAAAAGAAATTGCCAAATTTATTACACCATGGGCTTGAGCCTTGGGTAACGTTTTCATTTCAGCTAAAGGTCCAAGCTCCTCACTCAAATTAATCTGGCATCCAATGATTGCTAGCACCTATGTATTTAGGCCGCTAATTTTGAAAATAAGCACTGGTGCTTTTTATTATCCCGAGCATACGGTATTTTTAGAAGTGGACGTGCAATCACTTACTGGTTCAATCTGTTTTGGTACATTCTTCTGCTTCTGCAAGTACTCAGTCACAGTTGCTGTGAAAGGATCCTGCATCCATAAAGAACGATAACGATTGTCTATAAACCATAGCCTTATAATACTCACCCCACTAATGCTTATGCTTGAAGATTTTTGCTTCTTGAGGTAATCGGAAATGGCTGTATCTTGAGATAGGACCAGTGCTGTCCGACCACTCTAAGATATGCATGGGTCATAGCAAAACAATATGAACATAGTATGGGGGCTATGCAAGGCTCTCACATTGTCGGTTATAGTTAGATCTGCTCCTGATACAGTTAGGAACTTTGTAACTTCCACACTCTTCCCCATCACACCATACATCACTGCAGTTCTTCCTTCCTGCACATACACACATGCGCTTCGTACATACACACCCCGCGTCTTATGTCTTGTATAGCTATAATGTACACTTTGTATCTTAGGTCTGATAGAGAACTATGTGGCTACAGGCGCACGCGCACCTTGCATCTTAGGTCAATGAGAGCCCCTCTTCTGATCATCTCTTGTACCACTTCCAGTCTGCCCCTGAATGATGACTTCATCAGAGCTGTTTGTCCACGCTGCAGGTAATAGATGTATACACACAATTAGTGAAACTTGTTGTTACAGACACGTTGGGGGCTGGTAAACAGGCAATCCTTACCATGTCCTGTGCATCCATAAAGGCATGTGAATCCAGTAATCTGCAGACCACACCCACATTTCCAGACTCTGCATGCACCATTAGAGCTGTACAACCGTCCTGTGCAATAGAGTAATCCATCACATATTTTTTACTATTACTCTAGCAAAAAGTATGTCGCTGAAAGCTATCTTTCCTTTCTGAGAATGAGAAACACAGAATCACGAGACTTAGATTTAGCAAAAGGCACACTCACAATAACCAGAAGGCTGCAAACTGTTTAATACTCAGTTGACAGTGATTACAAATCTTTTTTGACAAAAACAGAATTTACCCCAACAAAAAACCACCATAATTATTATTAAATTGATCAATGTTAGGATCATTGGTATCATTCATAGTTGCAATGGAAATAATGTATACGGGATTCCAAGAATTCACACAGGACTATAATATTCATACTTATGAATAAAAAGGAATAATACCTGGCAAGCTACACTTTATATACGAGTGCACATGTACAGATATCTATTGATTTGCAAAAACAAGAGATCAAAAAAATTGCCAGAGTGCCTGTTTGGTATGGACAAGGACACAGGACATTTACAGTTCGTTTGTCTGTGTGACGCAGGGTCTTACCCCTCGCCTGTGATTGACACTGCATCCAGTTTCTGATGAGGTCATCAACTTCCTCTGTTGTCTTGGACAGGAACAATTGTTTGATCTGTAGTGCCAATTAACATAACACTAAACTGCATAGTACAGCCCAACTAGTTTGGAAAAAGTATAATTAACATTCCTCACTGAAAAATAGGAATGTTACTCAACGCAAACATTGCATGCCTTAACACTTGGCAAGCAAGAACGAGTGTTAGCCACAAGAGCAACTGCTGAAGCAACGATTGTTATGATGCGTGTAGCTTTTAGAATCACGTAGTACATTATGGTATATAAGGATGGCACCATTCATAAAAATGCGCACACAATTCAGATGCGTAGGTAGGCTTGCTTTGTAAGAGTACTTCTCACTTTCTCTGAAGCCTTGTTACAGTGTTGCGTGATGAATGACGTAACGTCAGTGGAGCCATAGGCCACTGCCTCTCTTAGAGTTGTAGGCATCCCAGAGTAGTCCTGTACCATAGATTAAGTATGGAATAAACAACAACTAAAACGAACGCTTCAATCAACAGTAACAGTTTGTACAGTTTGCTTGTTAATCTTGATTTGGCATCAGGGAAAGACATGTATATAGACACTATACTAAATGGCTAGCTACAACTAAAGTCCATTATCTTTACATGAGCAGGCTAGCTACAACTAAAGTCCATTATCTTTACATGAGCAGGAGTTATGGTCCTGTGCACATTTCATTGTTCTAACATTACCTCATGGCTGGTGAGGAGAATGGCGGCTCCAAACCTGAGGAGGACCTTGATGACCTCTTTATGACCTTTCCTGGCTGCCTCCATTATGGGAGTCCTCCCAGCCTGGAGAATGACGTGTATGAACGCAAGGATGGACCAGCTGACTAGACATGCTTGGATAAAGTAAGAAAATGTGTAGCCAGATGAGAAGAACATGAAAAATGGAGAGAGTAAAGGCCCCAGTAGTAAATGAGTCTGTATAATACTTTGGTTGTGGACAATTTTATACATAAGTTGCTACACATAATAAAACGTCCACCTTGTTGGTGATGTTTGGGTCAGCATTGTGTTGTAGGAGACACTCCACAATAATAGAGAACCCTCTGCCAGCAGGTCCCATGAGGACACTGTCACCCTCCTGCAGCAGGAAAAACAAACATTCTGACGCCAGAATAATAATGAGGGTAATCCCCTTGGATTTCCCCAACATCACACATTGCAACATACCGTATTAGTGCAGTTGATGTGTGGCAATTGCACATTCTTTAGGAACACTCTCAGAGCTTCAAAGTTTCCTTTTCCAGCCACCACATGTAGTGGAGAGTTGCCACTCTGTGCATTGGATGGGTGGCCATAAATGTAAAGCCAGACAGAAATTAAACTTGTAAGGAATCGATGCCCTTAACACAGCAATGCACATGGCATCACTGTATATACAACCTACTGAAGTAGGTAGATACCATTGGCCATCATTACAATTATTTACTATAAATAGCTCCTGGTTTCAAGCCAAAACCTGAGCAAAATTAGGGTAAAGGTGTCATTGCCCCCACCATATCGGGTTGAGAGTGGTTTGCTCCTTTCTTCAGCAACACCTCCACCACGTTCCCATGTCCCTCTGACAGAGCCACCATCAGAGGTCGCTGGCCACCCTGACAGGAGAAAATAGATAGCTTTCCATGCATGCCTAACAATGGACAGCTTCTGCAAAACTGAGCTTTGAAGCTGTAAATCCTGGACACTTCTATATAGTTATAGGCGATGTGAGAAGCTTCTTGAACGTTTCTCACGCACTGGATCAGGTCTTTCCAGTACTGTGGGGTGAGCATGAAGCAATTCCTGGACTCTTCTTGCCTCTCCTCTTCTTACCGCTCCGAAAAACGCCTCGCTGGCTTCCTATAATTATTATACAAGGACGCTGACTAGCTACAGCATAGGATAGTTAGCTACGACCTACCGCCAGTAACTGATGTGCGCTGGTAACACTGTCCATTTCTTCCTACAAAATTAGCTAACGAGCTTGCAAACCCTCTACCTCAGACGATCGAGCAATAATATGAGCCACACCCACCGCAGTAGTCTATTCACAACTAGAGCGTAAACAAACCTCATAATCATGACCGCTCTGGCGATGTTGTTTTGATAGCCCTGTATAGTATATAGCTGATACCTAAGCGAAGTAGGTAGCTACGGTTATAAAATTAATATTCTCTAAGCTAACACCTGGGACGATACCCGCTATAGCTAGTTCCAGATGGTGGCGGAAATGCTGACCCAGGGAGTCATCCAGCCATCATCCAGTCCATGGGCTAGTCCTGTTGTTCTTGTCGGAAAGAAAGATGTATCAATGAATGCGTTGCAACCATCCAAAATCTACAAATCCCTTGGTCACTGCACTCTATGGAAAACTATAGCCTCAGCTAATGCAACTGTGCAACTTTCCTCGGCTGTAATCACATGCTATATTATGTATGCAGGTATGTGGTTGTGTGGACTTCGAGTATATTATAGCCCGCAATAAAATATAGCTAACAGCGGAAAACCAAATATTTCACAACGAAGTTGCCATCCACAAAGCACTTTCTCCGTGATATTATTTTGTTGGCAGGGACATTCACTAGATTGCAAGACCAGCAATCCTAAAATTTGCGCTAGTCACTGAAACACGAATTTCAAAATTTCTTGGTAAATAACTTTTTTTTAGGCAGTCTCCAGAACATCATACAGAAACATATATATATATAATTATATATACTTCAGGGTGAGATAATAGAGCAATAAGCATCAGATATATCTGGTAGTATATCCACATTCTAAACTCTTAGCTGCAGAAGTCCACCCCATCCTGTGTAATGCTTCGGATATTCTCTTTCTTGATTCCTTCTCTGTTGAGAAGACCTGCAGTACTCTCCTGCAGCGTTCCCTGTCACTGGTGCAGGCAAACTGAGCAATCTTTCGTACTTTATCCCCAGCTAGACCTAGCTCTGTGGCTAGCAGTCTCCACTGAATGGCACAGTTACAGAGTATCTCCATCTCCACAGCTGACAGGGCTTCTTTGCTGGAATCTTGTGGCACTTCCTCCATGGAAGCATTGAACACTAGATGAGAAACAGGGATTAAAAAAGAGGGTTAGGCTCAATGAGATTTTAGGTGAGAGATTGTTAACTCATTGTTAGGGTAATACACACTTTAAGAGCTACCCTTTAGCCTATACTGCTTGCATTACTGTTGGCTGTAGGGAGTGGTATAATTCTCATATCCAACCACGCCATTTTTCCTTTGTTTTCTAACATTAACCCTCGGCGTGCATGCACAGCGAGGGTTACGGTAGTTGGTTTGTCTGTCTGTCTGTCTGTGTGTGTCGACACTTATTCTGGCACTACAGGCCACGAGGTGGCTAATGAGCGATACCAACGGCTTCAGAACTACGCATTAGGCGATTTTCCTGAAACGACTGCGTTCGAGAGATATGCTGTGAAAACAAGCGAAAAAGCCAATATGCAAAATCGCACTGGGCTTACCGCGACCAGATCCGCTCGCTCTGTGTATATACCTTGGGGGGTCAGGAAGTCACAACCAATGGCATGTCATGCTATCTACTACTGTAGCTAGCCCGTGTCTGACTCTCCGCGAGCTACTAGCGGAAGACCACGAGTAAACGCAAATAGCCGGCCCAGCCCATCAATTAGCAGTATCGCGCATGCGCAGTTCGCCGAGGGTTTGCACTTTCGTGGCTTTCATAAGCCATTGTCCATTTGCTCGCAACAGCGCTGTCTGAAAGAAAAACGATTTAATCACATAGGTTGGTTTGCTTAAAGCAAGCTGAATGGCAAAGGCATGCTTACTTTTTGCATCGAGTTTGATGGCAGCTTTGTAGCAGCCAATTTTGAGGAGGATCCTAGCCAGTGTTTCTCGTCTGTTGCTGGGATGCTGTCTCTGCCAGTCGGTGAGGAGTGTCACTATTGTCTCCTCACAGACTGAGGTGTAGCTGGTTCTCCCTGGACCCAGTGTGGTGGATATTGCCCCATAGACCTCCACTGGAATCAGTTTAACCACATGAAGCAACTCGGAGCGTGGGACAACCCCTACATATCATGGCATTATTAATACATTTTGTATCCAACTGTTACACTTACTTGCTTCATAGCATTCTGAAGCAGCGGTTGAGAATTCAGCTTCCTAATTGAGTAATCATAAGCACAAAAATTCTGCAACATTATTATTTTGTGTGCCTTATATAAAAAAAGCTCCTTTTGCCTTTGGTGAGGGTTACGATACTTTGTCTGTGTGTGTCTCTCTCTTTGTATGTCTGCAGCAATTCTAGCACAGGCTACAAGGCAGCCTATTAGTAAGAAAGCATTCAAAAAGGCCATTTTTCTGAAACAACTGTGTTCAAGAGATATGCTGCGAAAACAAGTGAAAAAGCCATTATGAAAAATGACCCAGTTTAGCGCGTTAAGTGCACAATGGAGGGATAAAGTTACTTGGGGATATGTATAATCAAGTCTCTATAAGCTACCAACTGATACCGCTAGTCTTTGATAGAGCGAAGCTGCCTGGCTCCATCGACGAGTTACCACATGGCGTGGCCCAGCACATTCATTAGACAAGTGGTGCTTTATGAACATCAAGTACTGTGTGCTAATGTGCATTCCTTGTACCAAGGGTTTGGACTTCAGTGCTTTTCGTAAGTAGAATAACTTACCATCCCAGTGAGCATCATCCACCTCTTCTGACCCTCAGATAATTCAATAGTCTTATTACACTTCCTCTTCTTCTTCTCGTCACCTGCCTCCCCTTCACCACCAACCCTAAAATAGCTGCCACGACAGTATAGTTTGTTCTCGGACTGACCAGGCAGGAAGTGTAGGTATGAGATGGTGCTAATGTTTGGTGCTGGGTGATCTTCACTCAGACTGTAGCACTCTCTACAGAGGAGGCCAATCTGATATTCAAATCCCGGGAAATACTTTAGCACGATATCCAGTATTTGATACAAACGGCTTTGATTTGGGTTTTGGCCTTTATTTCATTTCGGGGTTCCCCTCAAATCTGCTCACCGCCAATTCCACAACATCTCCATGGACAATGACTTTGAAGGTCCCTCCATTAGGGAGCTCAAACTCCGTGGAATTGTAGCATTTCGATAATTTCAGCTTCAAATCGGGGATCTCTACCTTAAGAAACTTTATAAAGTGTGCTTGAATATCAACAGGAATATACTCTTTATTGAACGTTACGAAGAGGGAGTCGTTGGAGTCGTTTTTATCTTGTTTTCGAGAGAAAGTTTCTTTACGAACTGTCGACACAAACAGTAGGTCAGTCTCTTTGCAGTGTGGGCAGTTGATTTGGTAGTCATAACAGATTGGATCATAGGATTTAGGGAGAACCTTAGTGGCAACAGCAATGCCAGCCTCTTGCATGACTTCCCAGAAGAAATCCTTATCATCTCCCCAAATATTTTTTGCCACGCTCTTGCAGAGAATTCCAACACTGAGACTGACTTGGCAATGCTTGTCGTCCGTCTCAACCGAATCATAAAGCGCGCTGAATTTCTTAAAGAAGTTGATCGGGTGGTATACAATTCTGCTACCGAAGAATTCTGGACTGTACATGAGGCTTCCAATCTTTGTGAAAAACTTGAGGCAATTCTCCGTGTCTTCTTTCGATTTGAGCCCACATTCGTATGCCAGGGCATCAAACTCTCTACGCTGCATGAGGAAATCTGATGCGTCAGACTTGTAGTGTAGAAGTGCACTGTGCAGGAAGATCCAGGTGAGCTGTAGGTCAATGTCAAAAACATCAGTCGAGGCCATGAGGTCTTCTATGCACCTTTTAATATGTTCACAATCTCCGTCATTGTGAAGATCGACTGCCAACATCTCCCTCGATACATTGGCCCCTACATCCCCCGCTTTCGCCCTGATACCTGCCTCAGTCATCCTCTTTACTTTCTGCACTTGTTCCTCGGGGATCTTGTCTCGGTGTGTTCCTATTAGAATGGCCTCTCCTGGTGGTTTACACAAACCTAACGTACGAACATAGTAATGTCCCCGTGACCTTCTTCTCATGATGTGCTTCCTTTGTTGATGCACAAGTTTAAATGGCTGAGTTCGTAAGTTTTCGAGGTTATCTCTGGAGAGATCGAGGACATTCAGCATCACAAAGGGGTGCATTAGACGAGCAATTAGAGGGAGTGCCTCCAGAAGCGCCTTACTGAATCCAATGTCCCACATGTTGAGGAATACGTAATTTGGTTGCGACATCAAATGGAACTGAAAGTCGGAACCACTTTCGGCAAATCTCAATAGGCCCTCTTGCATTGTAGTGTATACATTTTTGAAGTGCTGTTGCAAATGTTCGATTCTGAGGAACCTTGTTGGCAGGCTGTTTTGGTAGGACCACTTCTCCAACATTGGCAGTGCCATGTTCCTGTCTGCTAGAGCACGGGTGAGCATAAACATGTAGATATCTTCTCTTGGAAACTCTCCCCATTCAGGGGTAAGCCTATCTCGTCGAGATGTTGAGCAGTAACCGATTTCATGCATTATAAGAGCGTGTGATCCGGTGGCAGTAAAGCCAATTGCATTTGGTACACGTTTCTTTGGAGCCAGTTTATCAACGAGAGTCGATTTTCCTGAATCAGGGAGACCAGTTACAGCCACCAGGGTCACCTTGAACTGAGTCTTGATGTTGCCATTGACAATCACATCAAACACTTCCTCTGGGTTGTAGGTGTGGGTAGGCATTCTCTGAACTGAAATTGATGAAGTAAATGTAAAACAAGCAAAGACTTTCTCCTTACAGTAGGCTCTAAAAAACAAGCTGTTGGTCATTGGCGAGCAAAAGTTAGCATAACTAGAGTTTAATGTATATGAGGCACTGCACATACTGTAATGTTTGATTCAAAATACGCGCACGAAAATCGAAGTCGTTGCCTTATTTTTCTAGTACTTTGTACGTACAACTCTATATGCACACTTTCAATTTGCTGCCTATACAAACTCTTGTTCGTTTAGCTACAGAACACATATTTTTCTACTTTTGATCCTGCACCTTTGAGGCGAGTAATTTCTTCAGGGGTCCTCTCATTCTCGAGAGCCCTGATGATGCCATTGTAGGCAATTTCCATCTCCTCCTTCTTGTCCTGATACTGCTCTGTCGAGGCCAGTTTACTCTCCACGTCTGACATCATGTGCTTCAGCCTCAGCTCATTGATGTGCTTCTCCATTACCAGCTGCTCCTTAAGTTGAGTCAGCTCCACTGAGGCCTACATTAATAGCATAAATGTGTGGTATATGCATTGTCTATACTGTTACAGAGCCTCACTGTATAACAGTCAGTTCTCAATAGAAAGAAAAGGCCTCGATCAATAATCTACCTTCTGTGCACTTTGTTTTGCTTCAACGGCAAATTGTTCAGCTTTCTTCTTTGCCGTCTTGAGTTTCTTGTATTCCTCGATGAGTCTGTCCGGCTGGTCTCTGTAGTGGCTTAAATCTTCCTCATCTATCACTGAGAACTGTGTGTCACAGAAACAACCAAATCATCTACTCAGCACCAATCAAGACAGTTGGTAGTTGGTGTTACTTGCTATTCTAAGATCTACAAGTAAGTTGTACCTACAACTGATACACTGTAATTCCACTGAGTCATTCGTAATGGTAATTTAAACAGCTTGTGTGATTATGTTGTGTGCGTGTGTCTATTTGTATGTAGAAAAGGGGATAGAGTGATGAAAAAGGGGATGTAGATGGTTTATTTCTCTTGCTCCACATAAAACACTATGCTTGCTAATGCCACGAGAGTAGATTCTAGGATTCCAAAGGTGGTTAGCTTGCACACCTCTGCCCTGATTGTCAGTTCCTCCACTCTTGTCTCCAGCTCTGCCACTCTCTTTATGTAAGTGTTCAGCTGGTGTTTCATGGGGTCTTCCTCTGACAGACCCTCACTGATCTGGTCTCCCTCTCCCTTTCGCCTACTCTTTGGCGATTCCAGAGCAGGCTGGCCGGGAGAGCTACACTGTTAAAAATATGGTGTTATCTAACACCCCATTTTCTGTACCAAAACTGGCAGGGTGTATTGAGCACCTAAGGGGTGTCAGTACGCTTTAATAGTAGGTGTTTACTAACACTCTTGGGTGTTTTGTAGAGTAAACCATGCACCTCTAGTGCTCTACCACAACACCTAAGGTGTAAGCCTACACTGACCAGCCCTATATCACACTTCCTTTTATGCCTTGTGCTAGTGTTAATAAATATTGTTGGACAATGTCAGAAATTTCTTCATCCCAATCATTCTCTTCAGTTTTATTATGGTTTTTTGGTGTGGGTTGGTGTGTGGGTTTGATCCTCATAAGAGTAGTGAATAACATGAAGGGATTCTTTAAAAAAATATTGTGCTGGAGACATTGTGGGCATCATAGTCAATGTACATGAGCATGACTAGTAATACAGACAGTGACAGCCCCTGTGGCGCATGCGCGGCAATGTTTCTGCGCATGCACTCGCAGCATGACCTTTACCTATCCGGCACGTGCCCAGTACACCGGTGGTTAGTGAGCGATCATGTTGGGCGTCATTTTCCAATGTCAAGTAGAAGTATGACTACATCTCTATGGCTGTGTTTTTGCGAGCTCAAGCTCAGTATTTAAAGCTTTCTGAGCCCAAGAGACCATCCCATCAGAACGAATACCATGGCTAGAACCCGGCGATAGAGATTTTCGATGTAGCGCTCGTCCCCACCAACCCGTCGAAGAAAACGTAAGGACTGATCATAAGCTACGTAGTCTGTCTAAGACGGCACTGAATTGTTTTAATATGACTCAGCTACTCCGCCCTATCACAGCCGCACAGGCAAGCACCACGATTGGTACTACAGCCTGGGTTAGTGCTTGGTGTTCCTGACTTTTCCCTCCAGAACGGAGAGTGGTAGGAGCGGCTCGGGCATTGTATTTAGATCACTTTGTTACTTCGCAGTACCAGTATGGGCATTCGAGGGAGGGAAGATCTGCACAGTAGGCTGATAGTGAGTCATGCAATCGGTATTTTCAATGCTTTCAGATTTTGGTATTTTCTTCATAAATATGAAGTGAATTTAAATGCTATAATAGGAGTTGAAATTGCTGAGAATTTGGCATGGATTTATGATATCTGCCAAGATTGGTATAAATTATTCTTTGCAGATTGGAGTCCAAACCATAGTGTGCCCTTTCAAAGCAGCAGGAAGTAAGCAATTCATTTCCTCGCTGCTGCATAATGCTTAAGGGCTACATGTTACTAGTACACTTCCTTCTCATATTTCTTCAAGTGGTCAAGTGATGTGAAAATATAATTATATGGCCAGTTTATTGGAGGTGCATGCATTCCCACTTCACAGGATGTCAGCTGCTGGGGCCAATAATCCATTCTTTGGAGCTTACTGAGCTGCGCTTTGCTTGTCCTCGAGCAAAAAATATACCATTGTGGCATCAATGCTCGGTTTTCTGTAAGTCAATTATATTAAATATGTATAACATGGACGAACTGTTGTTAGATGAGCCTGACCTTGATGAGGCTGTGAGAAATCACTGAAAACAGGTTTCCTGTGTTCTTCTGACTAAAGGACTCTAGCATCATTAGATTTTATCTTATCTCTTTACTGTTTTTGTTTTTGTATCTCATGTTCTTTACTGTGAATATTTTGTCACTTCAACAGTAAGGGGCTCTGCAACAACGAACAGCGTCTAGAGCACAACCGGTTTTGTGACACCCTATGAATGTTATGACACCCAAAGGGTATTGTGCACAATAGAAGGCAATAGCACTCTTTGGTGTACATCACCAGAAGGTGTTCTGTACCTCTTAGGGTGATGGTTACACCCTACCCCCAAGGGTGCCAAACGGCAAGTCCCAGGGGCCCCAAAGTTGCCGTAACACCCCATTTTTAACAGTGTGCTGCTACTCTGCGTCTGAAAAATAACGACCTCAAACCTAGCGTTACCTTATGAGCAATGAAGTTATAGATAGCTATACAAGAGATACAGCTGTAGCAGCTAGCTACTACAAAGTGACACTTACATTCTCTTTGTCTGTTATCCTTTTTTGCGTCTTTTGCATATCCAGATATTGGCTCATCACAGCTGTGAATGGATCCTGCGCAATTCAGAATAGTGCTTCATTTAGACGTTTATTGCCTCATTAAGTAGCTGCATACATACCTTATCAACTCTCTTTACGGTTGTTTTTTTCTCAAGGAAAGTGCGTATTTCCCTGTTTTCTGTTATGTCCAGCACAGTTTGCCCATTCTGGGAAACAGAGTCACCATTTCAGGCCCTTCAATGAACACTTGCTACATTGTCACTTGAAGTCTTAATGTGTTAACCTGGTTGGAATAAATGTACCAACGTAGGTCGTTGGTCTCTACTCACATTGTCAGTTATGGTCAAGTCAGCTCCAGACATAGTCAGGAACTTTGTGACTTCCACATTACCTCCCATCACCCCATACATCACTGCAGTCCTCCCTTCCTACACACACACACACACACACACACACACACACATTCACGCATGAACGTAAACATGGCTCTGCAGCAAACTACTATAGGAACTCCCCCAACAGTGTAAATCCACTATATTATTGTGATGTATAATATACCAACTGACTTTCCCATTTTTATACACAATAAAGATAACCTCCTCCTTGCAGTCTCAATATATTCTAATTAACCCTCGGCGCGCACATGCGCAGCGAGTGTTACAGTAGTTGGTTTGCCTGTCTGTGTGTGGTGTGTGTGTGTGTAGACGCTTATTCTAGCACTACAGGCTATGAGGCGGCCTATTAGTGATACCAGCGACTTCAGAATTACGCGAGCTGGAAAAATAAAAGGGTGATTATCCTGAAACGACTGTGTTCGAGAGATATGCCGTGAAAACAAGCGAAAAAGCCAATATGCATAATCACACTGGGCTTACCGCGACCTGATCCGCTTGCTCTGTGTACCTTGGGGGCTCGGGAAGTCACATCGAATGGCATGTATCGACTCCCGCATGCTATCTACTACTGTAGCTAGCCAGTGTCAGACTCCCCGCGAGCTACTAGCGGTACAGATCACGAGTCAAACGCATACAAATAGCCCAGCCCATCAATTTTAGCAGTATCGCGCATGAGCAGTTCACCAAGGGTTTACACTTTAGTGCTTTCCATTATTTGGAGGTACCACTGCAGTGTGTGCTATTGAGGGACTCATACCTTGCACTTGAGGTCAATAAGAGCCCCTCTTCTGACCATCTCCTGTACCACTTCCAGTCTGCCCCTGAATGATGACTTCATCAGAGCTGTTTGTCCACGCTGCATGCAGGTAATAGATGTATACACACAATTAGTGAAACTCGTTGCTACGGACACATTTGAGGCTGGTAAACAGGCAATCCTTACCATGTCCTGTGCATCCATGAAGGCATGTGAATCCAGTAATTTGTTGACCACACCCACATTTCCAGACTCTGCATGCACCATTAGAGCTGTACAACCGTCCTGTGAAAATGAGGAGAAATCCTAATATCACACCAAACTGATGGTATATAGCTCTCAGCCTGCATACTCGGAATACGCAAGGTGCTTGTTTTAGGTGTGGCTAAAAACTATACCCACAGCCTCCAACGTAGGAAAGGTCTTTTGAAAGTAACGTTTAGGAGAATAAAACCATTACACGGTTGTCCTGTTCTGCACACTGGGCCAGCACCAAATTTTTACTTCAAAGTAAAGGCAGTATATGGAGTGTATAAACAAGAATTCCTCTTACAACCAATAACATTCCCCAGCATTATAGCCTTTTTTTGCAGGTTATGTAGTGCAGTAAGTCAGTGCAGGTATGACTTTCTCCAAAGCCAAAGCTCAAAAATTTACAACAGAAGAATGGGGATTACGCTCCTTGTGTGACAGACTTTAGCCAAAGCACAGGTATCTAATGAGAATACCTAGCTGTATGGAGGTGTGGCACTGAGAAAGAAAGGGGTTTGTATGGTGCGACGCAGGGTCTTACCCCTCGTCGGTGGTTGACACTGCATCCATTTCTGATGAGGTCATCCACTTCTTCCGTTGTCTTGGACAGGAACAGTTGTTTAATCTGCAGTGCCATACACTTACACATAATGGACTTATTACCGAATATTTGGGTCTCTATTAATAATTAATTGGAGGGGTTAAATCTGAAGATGTGCTATAAGGCAATTGTAGAACACGAAAATTGTCTCGACTCACTTTCTCTGAGCCTTGTTACAGTGTTGCATGACGAATGACGTAACGTCAGTGGAGCCATATGCCACTGCCTCTCTTAGAGTTGTAGGCATCCCAGAGTAGTCCTGTACAAGACAATAGTGGGCACTACACCTGTAGCTACAACAAAAGTCAATTATCCGCTTGTACCGGCCAGTACAAATAAATTCTATCATACCATTTCAGTGTCCATAAGACATTACCTCATGGCTGGTGAGGAGAATGTCAGCCCCAAACCTGAGGAGGACCTTGATGACCTCTTTATGACCTTTCCTGGCTGCCTCCATGATGGGAGTCCTCCCAGCCTAGACAACCACAGAAGACCAGTATAAACTCCAGGTAAAAAGGAACACCCAAAAGCTGACATACATAACCTTTGCATGCACATGACATGCTTATTTAACCATGCTCATAAGCACACTTCATTTAAGTTTCATCCAAATGTGGTAAAAATAACATGATATGAATCATGTAGGCCAGTTTGTCAAGCGCAAAAACAGTTCATACAAGCATAGAAGGCATTGATGTTTAAAAGGTACACTGCAATCGCAAATAATATTCCAATGCGTGCCTTGTTGGTGATGTTTGGGTCAGCATTGTGTTGTAGGAGACACTCCACAATAATAGAAAATCCTCTGCCAGCAGGTCCCATGAGGACACTGTCACCCTCCTGCAGCAGGTGGCGTTAATGTGCAATCCCCTGGGGATTACCCCATGATTAAACACTATAGCCCTATCCCGGAAGTGCTTACATAACTGTTCGCATCCAAAATTTTTAATAACCCCATGGATAAAAGCTGGGAAAGCCTTCCGGGACTCTTTAGAAAAAGGTTTCCTATGGCTTACATGCAGCCTTTATAAACTCGTGATACCAGAGAGAGAAGTTGGGGTATGCTCTGCTGATGAAGGCCAACAAGCCCGAAACAGCTGTCCAGAGCTCCCATCTTTTTCTCTTGGCATCACATGGTATTTTCTACATGTGTATGCACTGGCAATATATGGGTGCTTGCTGGCTTCATTGCCTCGGCCCAATCCACTATGCCAGTATTTTGAATTCGGGTTTTGGCTCGGTGCTGACCTTGACCAGCAGGAGTGGGGAGGGGCCTAGGCTCCAAACCATGAATGTCTGGCCATGGTCAGCACATATATACCAGTGGCAAAGCCTTGTGGCGATGAATCTCATTAGTTCAAACCGCAAGCGCTGCGCCTGAGCAAAGCCTTGTGGCGATGAATCTCATTAGTTCAAAACCACAAGTGCTGCGCTCATGGCAGCCTTTATAAACTCGTGATGCCAGAGAGAGAAGTTGCGGTATGCTCTGCTGATGAGGGCCAACAAGCCGAAACAGCTGTCCAGAGCTGCATCTTTTTTCTTTTGGCATCACATGGTATTTTCTACATGAATGATCTACCCCTTTCTGCGAGATAGGCTAAGTTGCAACAATACATACCTCATTCTTGCAGTTAATTTCTGGCAATTCCACGTTCTTTAGGAACACTCTCAGAGCTTCATAGTTTCCTTTTCCAGCCACCACATGTAGTGGAGAGTTGCCACTCTGTGCATTGGATGATGTATGAGTGTGTAGGTGTATACTTTGGTTCACAGGAGCTAGTAACTCTGTAATGTAAAGCCAGCTTAGGTTATATTATTTGGCATGGGCTGAGAGCCATTACTTTGGCATGTATCAACATTACTGATGCAAGTGCACAGCACATGACACTATTGAGTAGTGGCCATCATTGCTTATCTGGCTTCAAGCCAAAACCTATGCTGATGCCGACAAGAGTATGACTGAAAGTAGTGCTGCCCTCACCGTATCAGGTTGGGAGTGACTTGCCCCTCTCTTCAGCAGGACCTCCACCACGTTCCCATGTCCCTCTGACAGAGCCACCATCAGAGGTCGCTGGCCACACTAGGAGAAAATGCGGGAGTTTCTGGTAACAGTTTCGTAGCTCTCAGAGGCCAATAGGGTCTATAATACTGTGAGTTTGGTTAGAGCAACACGTTTCATGAAATTGCACGCTGGTTCAGATTACCAAACACTCCAAATCTTGATAAAGCTGTAGACCACATGTAAAGGGTTAAGGTTCAGGCATTACTGAGCCACACTGGCTACAGTAAGATGTTATAATTATATAGCCGCATGCCAGATGCAGAACATTCAAAGCAGCGTACTGGATCAGGTCTTTCCAGCACTGTGGGGTGGGCATCCAGTAGTTGCTGGACTCTTCTCGCCTCTCCCCTTCTTACGGCCCCGAAAAACGCCTCGCTGGCTTCCTGGACGGGAGAACAACCGTTGCCGAAGGACGCTGACTAGGGCATGATATGCTACTGACGTACCGCCAGTAACTGATGGTCGGTGGCAAAGCTGTCCATAGAATCTTCTTCCGCAGCTCGCAAACCCGACACCGCAAAGCTGGCTAGAGCTAGCTATGGCGCACACCACGTGCACTAAAATCATCCGAGCTAAATTAAGCGAGCAACGCCCACCGCAGTATAAATTCATAGGGAGGTATATACATCATGTATCACACGGTAATGATTCACACTCTAAGTACTTTTGGGGTGGTATCTAGTCTCTGTCTGGTGGTGGTCCTCTCTCTTCTCTGACTGTCCTTCACTCTCCACACACACCACACCACTCCCACCAGGCACACCGTCACCACGTACACCACCAGGAGCACCACATAGGCCAGAACGTTGCGACACACGTCCGTGAGCAGTGCCAACTTGTCGAATCTTATCACGAGGTAGACACCGCCGCCCAGCCAGACTATGAATATGGTGAAGGTAATGGCGACTATTGCAAAGCCGATTGTTCCGAGTATTTTGGCCCAGGAGGGTAGGCCGCAGCAGAGTCCGACGTAAGAGACACAGCACACACAGCTGCTGAAGATGGCCAGTGTCACTATGATACCTGTGTTCTGGGGGAGGGACAGAGGATGGGGAGGTGTAGTCAGAATACAGTCACACCGCCGAAAAAGGATAGAATATATAATTATACCTCTCTAAAGCTGCCCGTATTTTGAACGATCTGAATACGGAGTATAAGGACACTTTTCATGTCATCAAGGTGTCCCTTACTTGAAAGAAATTAATGGTGGTGCATACACATTCTTGGAATCAGAGGGTGATTGTTATTAGCTATTAGCACAATAAGTGACATTACATCATGAAGAATCGAATATCTTTCTCTCACTGCAATGTTACTGTAGATGCCAAGTAAGGACTCACCGCTAGATACCAAGCATACACATTCTGTCTCAGGAGGGGAATGGTAGGGTCTTCCTCCTCCCCCAGATCTCCACCTCCCTCCCTCCCCCCACTCCCCCCTCCTCCTCCTCCTCTGTGGGACTGAGTGTAGCAGAGAGACTCTGTACGGAGGTTGCTGTGGGCGGGGCCAGCTGGAGACACGGAGAGAGGGGAGAGAAAGTCAAAAGGGCAACACCGAAGAACCACGGAAATATCATACTGTATCACTCTTTTCCACTTTACCATCGAATGCCTGTATATCATCCGTTATCACGAAACCTATTTTTCACAACCTCGGTGTCTGGATTGGAGATGTACAACATGTATATAGCTACTACTGCATCACTACGTGTTCACCTCGAAAAAGGGACACCTCTGGGAAAAGGGCGAAGAAGCTTTGTTTGAAGTATATCACCGAATATGAATCTTATTGACTGTATGTTTCTGTGTCAACTCACTGAGAGATGCCCCACCAATCCACAGTAATCCAGTCACCACAAACAGAGCTACTACAGCTGAGGGGAACAAAGCAGACACACTAATTAAAATATGCAGTACGTATAGATTAAACAAAATTGTGTGGAAGTTAATATCTCAGAGATTCTTTTTCAATCGCACGGCTGAAACGCTCTTGATTTATAGCTCATTTTTGTACATTCGTCTTCGATACATTTGCTATGGGAGAGAAACCAGCGTGCGACTTCACAGGGAGCGAATAGTCCTTCGCCATTATTCCCAGTTCCTTTCTCTGTCTCCTATGTACATGCTATGCACAGGAGTATTAGTGCATTTGATCACGGATTCTCAGAATAATGGACACCACTCTTCTGTCCATTACCCATTATACTAGAGGAATGCAATGCATTTTGAGAGAGAGGGAGAGAGAGAGAGACATACCGCATATAAGGCATTTGGTAAGGGCTGCCAGTCCACAAAACTTCCCGCACAGTTTCCCCAGAGGTTTGCAGCAGTGGCACTTTCCATGGTTACCTGCAGCATGGCCCCTTCTGCCTCTTGGCTGAGAAGAAAAGGGGGGTCGTGTGTGCAGGAAAGATGAAGGGGGATTCAGAAAAGTAGCTATAGGCTCATATAAAAAGCAAGCGGGTCACACGCATTTCTGAGTCACGTCGAAGGCGTTTAGTGAAACTGAAGCTCAGTAATGTAATATTTGGCTTGCAAACCTTAGCAGTTTGTCCGCCAGATGAGGCAACGTTGTCCAAGGAAGCCACCGTTTTGAGAGCTGTGTAGGCTGCAATAGGAAACAGTGGGTAACGCTAGACACACAAAACGAGACCCGTCTCTATATCCACATACCTACAGGCATCTTCAACCCTATTTGTCCCTCAAGAGCTAGCTTTGAGAGATCTGTATAATACTGTCCTGGCTTGTTGTGAAGCAAGCAAGCTAGATACAGCTAGTTGTCAATGAAAGCTCCTAAGCGCATGCGCTAATAAAAATAACGAAAAAGTAAAATTAAACTGTGCCGAATATCCCTTTTCCCTCTAAGGGCTGTAGTGTTCCCTCTGTCCCTACCGTCCTCGTCCTCCTTCCGGCCCCCGGGTCCCCAGTGGAGCTCTAAAGCGTTTGGACAGAGACACAGCGACGAAGCAGGGGTTACGGAGAGAGCCTCTGCTGGCGGTGAGGCAGGCGGGGCTGCGTCTCTCGCGTGGGCCGTGCGCCAGCGCTTCTCATTATCTTACAATATTGTCTAATGGGGTTCGTTGTGTTTTTAGCGTCTCGTCTACTTTGTCAGTGTGTAGCTAAACAGCTGTTGTGGGGGCAATACATGTGGCTGCATGTGCCCTGTACTTTTAATAACGAACTGAGCACTCACTTAGGACATCCTGGGTCAAGTCCTTTGTTGTAGTATGACCTGTGTGTGTGTGCCTTCTGCATCTATGGCTGGTGTTACAAT